TTGGCCTCAAAACTTGCCTTTCTCCTCTGGTTAATTGATCTTGACATGTTTTGGCCACACGCTTGCTAATGTTGTCCCTTTTGATCCTTCTACTATATATTCTATCTTAATTTGATCCTTATATTATTTTATACTTTTTTTTATTAAACTTGGGTTAAGATAACATGTTAATAATACCTTTAAACTCAAAATGTTCTCGCTGTTAACTATTAGTGATATCTTGCAGCATGGTTTAGAATTTTTTTGAATTAAATTCAATTTAAAGTTTTCAATAAAATCTCAAAAATTTTAAATATAAAAAATTGAATAAAAATAAATTTTAATATGTGGATCTCAAGTACTAAAAAAATGTTACGGTGATGAGGCACCATCATTACCGCCATCAAGCTTTGATGAAGGAGATGAAGATGATTCAACATTGTTTGGAGAAGGATTTGGATGGAAAGCTGTGACAGTGGGGTATGGATGCGGGTTTGTGTTTGGAGTTGCAACGGGATATGTTGTGTTTAGAACAAAAAAACCTGCATGGTTTCTTAGGATGCTTGAAGATAAATGGAATCTCAACAACAAAAAAACAAAGAAGAATGCTGGCAGATATGGTGCTAGAAGAAACTAAATGATGCAATTGATATTTTCAAGTAAGTTCTGCATTTGAGTTTTCAAATTTTATATTCACAGTTTTTGTTAGGCTATCTTTTCTTTACTATTTCATTTGATCAGTCTTACCTTTTTAATTTTGCAGTATAAACAAGATATCAAGTGGATCAACAATATTATTGGGTGTAGTTTACATAATTCAAGGTTAAATGTACATTACTTCTATGAAAAAGAATCCATGCATGTAACACAGGTTTGTGTTAACTATAAAATCATTTATGTTTTGGGTCCTATTTTTAGGTGTCAATCTTTGTTTTGGGAGTATTCTGAAAGTTATAGAGTTATGAACAGATTGAAGCAATTCTTGTAAATTTAAAAGAACACTTGACTGACAGATTCTGTTATCACAACAGCAGCAATACTTGCAAGTAAATTGTAAGACATGAATGACTATTAAAAAGTGTGATAAAACCATCTCAACAGGTACAAACAATGTTCTAAAGCATTGTTTATATCTAAAGCAAAAAAAAAGCAAGATAGGTTTCTACAAACAATATTGTTTGATAGGGAAAACATTAAAATATTTGTTTGTAAGATATTGTCACTGAGTCCGGCCAGGCCAGGCCCATGAATAAATCACACTTCCACAAATCTTACATAAAACACATTCTAGCAAGTCGCTGCATAAGAGGACCACATAAATGCAGAACTCAAGATCCGTAGTACGACGCTGCCCCAGAAAACTGTCAATCTCGTCAATAAATATAAAGGCAGGCTGGAGTTTATAAGCCAGGCTAAAAACAGCAGCAACTGCAACAGCATAGAAGAGAACCAACATCAATCAGATTATAAGAACTTCAATAAGAGCAAAAAAGCAACTACGCAAACTTAGTTAATTACTTCTAAGTCTGTTTCTAGTCAGCACAGAACCAACAAGACTTGAATGGATTCAGATGCAGAAAAGTGTAGAGCTCATCAATACGAACTCAACGGTGCAAAAATCAGATCAATCGGAGCACGGGGTGGACCACACTCTCCGTCTGAAATTTCATCACTGTAGCCCACGCGCCCCGAGGAAGAAGACGAGTGAGCCACACGCGCGCCATATTTGAGCCGCGCCGAGCCAAGCCTCAAGCCGAGTCGCGAGCCGAGCCATAAGCCATATTTCGAAGCCGAGCCGAGCTCCAAGCCATATTCCGAAGCCAAGCCAAGCTCCGAGCCATATTCTAAAGTCAAAGTCAAAAAAAGAATATTCCTTGGAATATTCCCGGTTCAACCCAGCAAACCACCCGAATTGGTTTTTGGACCGGTTCACCTCATTTTTGACCCGTTTTCTACAAAGTCAGACCGGTTCCTTACTATTTGGACCATTCCGGATCCATCTACGGTATCGGTTTTTCCAAATGCAACTCCCAAAAAGGTGATATAGTCATTTAAAGAGCAAAATGACTACAGAAAATGCACAAACACTCATCCCAAAGCTAACCAAAGACAACTATGATAGTTGGTGCATCAGATTGAAGGCATTCCTTGGTTCACAAGAGTGTATAGACATTGTGCAATATGGTTATGATGAACCAGAGTCCAAAGAATCAGAAGATGCTTTACCAGAGGTACAAAAGCAAGTCCTGAAAGCCAATAGAAAGAAAGACAACAAAGCAAAGACCATCATTTATCAAGGTCTTGATGAAGCGACATTTGAAATCATTGCTTCCGCAGAAACATCAAAAGAAATATGGGAGGCTCTCCAACAAAAATACAAAGGTGCTGACAGAATAAAGAAGATTCGTCTCCAATCTTTACGAGGTGAATTTGAATTATTACAAATGAAGTCCTCAGAATCCATTTCTGATTATCACACAAGAATTATGGTGATAGTCAATCAGATGAGAAGAAATGGAGAAGCCCTTTCAGATGCTCGAATTACTGAGAAAATTTTGAGATCCCTAGATCCAAAATTTGATTTTGTTGTTGTCGCTATTGAAGAGTCCAAAGAGGTGGACAAGTTAACAGTGGATGAACTTATGAGTTCTTTACAAGCTCATGAGCAGAAGATTATAAAAAGAAATGGAGATAAGGCAATTGAGCATGTCTTACAAGCAAAGTTGTCTCTCAAAGACAGGTATGAGCAAGGGGAGACTTCAACAAGTGGATACACCACTCGAGGAAGAAGTCAACAAACATGAGGAGGATTTCAGCGATTTCAAGGCAGAGGTTCTTGGAATACAGGTTTTAGAGGAAGAGGTGGTAAAAACACCACTAGAGGAGGTCGAGGACAACAAGCATTCACTCCTAGAGGAAGAGGAGGCGGTTACAATAACCGTGACAAGAGGAATATTCAGTGTTATAATTGCAATCAATTTGGCCACTATAACACTGAATGTCAAAAGAAAGCTCCACTGGAGATACGTGAGCGAGTCAACTATGCAGAAGAGGATGTCAACAGTAGAGGAGCAGCTGCATTATTTGTCCAACAAGGACTTGACAAGAATCAAGAGAATATTTGGTATCTTGATTCTGGAGCCAGCAATCACATGTGTGGCCAACGAGATTTATTTGGTGATCTAGATGAGACCATACAAGGTTTTGTCACCTTTGGAGATACGTCAAAAGTTCCATTCAAAGGTAAAGGCAACATTCCAATCGAGTTGAAGAATGGCGATCAAAGCTACATCGCCGATGTCTATTATGTCCTAGACATAAAGCAGAACTTGGTGAGTATAGGTCAACTTCTGGAGAAAGGTTATATACTTTACATGAAGAATTGTCATCTGACAATTACAGACTACAATGGGAGATTAATTGCCTATGTGAAAATGTCCAAGAATAGGATGTTTCCTTTAAACATCCAATATGATGCAGCAAAGTGTTTGAGTGCCATCACCAACAATGAAGAATGGCTTTGGCACCTGAGGCTTGGACATCTGAATTTCACAAATCTGAAGATGCTAGCAAGCAAGAAGATGGTCAAAGGTATGCCCCATATTGATCATCTAGAAGAAGTCTGTGAAAGTTGTGTCCTCAGCAAACATCACAGATCCAGTTTTGCCAAAGAAGTCAACTGGAAAGCAAACAAGCCACTGGAGTTAGTACACACAGATGTGTGTGGTCCGATAAAGCCTATGTCGACTGGACAAAATAGGTACTTCCTCATTTTTATTGATGATTTTAGCAGAAAGACATGGGTATATTTTTTGAAGAGGAAGTCAGAAGTGTTCAATTGTTTTAAAGATTTTAAAGCAATTGTTGAGAAGCAAAGTGGCTATAAGATCAGAACCGTGAGATCTGATCAAGGTGGAGAATATACAGCAAATGACTTTGAAGCCTTTTGTACACAACAAGGCATCAGACATCAGACAACACCAGCTTATACACCACAGCTGAATGGTGTAGCAGAGAGGAAGAATCGAACAATTCTTGATATGGCAAGAAGTCTACTCAAAGCAAAGAAGCTGCCCAAGCAATACTGGGCTAAAGCTGTATCATGTGCAGTATATTTGGTGAACCGCTGCACAACCAGAAGTTTGCAAGCTATCACTCCACAAGAAGCATGGAGTGGTCACAAACCAAGTGTTACTCATCTTCGAGTCTTTGGTTGTGTGGCATATGCAAAGATCCCAGATGCAAGAAGGACCAAACTTGATGATAAAAGCGAGAAATGCATCTTTGTCGGATATGGTGAGAGAAGGATGGGATACAAGCTGTATAATCCCATCACCCAGAAGGTAATTATGAGCAGAGATGTTATCTTTGAAGAAGATAAAACTTGGCAATGGAATGATGACCAAGAAGCAGTTAAATGGATCAGCACTGATTTGATCCTTGAAGATGAAGAAGTACCAACAGTACTTGCAGAAGGTCCAATAGTACCAGAAGATGAGCCACAAAGTCCGGTACACAGATTTCCTGTATTCAACAGGAGAAACACATCAGAATTATCATCAACACCATCATTACCAGAACCATCATCAGCATCCTCATCAAAAGGACCAAGAAAGATGAGAAATCTAGACGAGTTGTACGATGCCACTCAAGTCATGGAAGATACAACTTTGTTTTGTTTCTTTACCTATAAAACAAAGAAGAATGCAAAAGAAGAAGTGCAAAAATACAAAGCCATTGAAGGGAGAAACATTTATCAGAATGAAGTTCATGATTGGCATGACATCCCTCGATTGAGTTTAAGGGGGAGAATTGTTGAAGTAAACTCAATCCAGAAGGTCAATGAAGGCAGCCACCAGCTGTCACCGCCCAGCCACCAACCGACCAGCCGCCAGCCGCCGGCCGCTTTCACACCGTCGGCCAAAAACCGCCTTCACACTTGAAGGTTGAATTTTCTTGTTTTGATTTCGTGTATAAATAGATAGCTAAGCTTATGCAATTATGTGTGGAGAGATTGAGAGAAACACTAGAGAGAAAGAGAGAAAGAAAGAGGGGTTGTTGTAAGCTTTTGTTTATGTTATTGTAAGCTTTGTTCTTGAAATAAAAGAGTGTGTTTTATCCCCTCCGAGTGTTTCAAAGCCACCACAAGTGGTTTCTCCCACCAACATAAACTACCCTGCATCTAACTTTATCTATAGCTCAGAGCTGACAACATGATTTAAGATTTGGCAAAAACTCAAGAACTCATGAGAGACTGAAAGAAGCTGCAAGAGATATTGAGCTGAGAGGGATACCATCATAATCTGTGAGTAAATGAGTGACTAAATCGAACCCCAAACCATCAAAAATCTTAAAAAACAAATCAGTAGCTGCCTAAACTTTTCATTTGCTAAAACTACATTTTTCAGGATAAAAAACTCATGTTTATATCAGACAATGCACTTTATATTCCATCATCTGGAGAATGTTGAAAGGCGTGATGAAGACTAGTACATTAGGTCTCATGGCTGTGGTTGTGTCAATCAATCAAGGGTTAGAATCAGGGTTTGAGCTGGTAATTGGGAGCTTGAGTTCCAAACACCAAATTCTGTTACCTCTTTCCAAAGGGGAGTAAGTGACAAACGAATTCAGGTGCTGGAGGCATTTTAGACAAATGTAAGGGATTTGGTCTTGTCGACAACTTACAGATATCAATTCAGGAGTTTAGAATAAATCCATTTTTGGTAATATTCTTCCCACTTTTGTTGCTACTAGGTATAACTATTATAAGAATAACAGACGGGCTATTCTTTTTAGATTTCTCGGGTGATCTGGAAAAATGAAACCAGCAACGCATTCTGAGAGAGAAAAATGCATCTCTCATGTGAATTCAAGCATCGAGCAATGTGAGAATTTATGAGAAGCAGCACAAGGCTGGCGAGTATACTTGCCTCCTTTTGGGAACTTGGCTAAGATCCTCTGGCATTTGTTTATGAAACTCTTTGCTTCTCTCATCCTCTTGTTTATGAACATATACAAGGAAGAATAGACATAGCATTACCTATCTGGCATTGAAATATAAGGTTTGATCCTCTGTTATTGCCAATGCTGAAGTGCTTGCATGGAATCTAATCTCATGCACTTATCTTATCTAATCACAAATCTTGTAAACTCATCCTAGATACATGGGGGGGGGGGGGGGGGGGGGG